TAATAGATAGCGATCAATTTGGACATCACAACATTTTATCCCTTAAGAAACAAACTCCGCTCAAATTCTTCTTGGACGTAAATCTTTTATGTTTAAAATATAATCTTGATATCGTGCGGGTAATGTTCTATTACGGCTAGGCCTCGTAACGTCGGCTGTACAATCTTTTTCTTGTTCAGTAACATTTCTCTCCTTGTAATGTAATCGTAGGTAAAATATTAGGGTCATAAATTAATACTTCGTCAGTGGTAAATCTTTTCTTAAGTTGGTCTAAGTGCCTCCTTAATATACCATTTTTCGTTTGAATTTGAAATAACATGTTACTTTCTTTTTTAATTATAACGCCTTCATCCCACTTGTTTACTCCAAAATTTCTATACAAAATTTTTTCTCGAATATTCATCGTTCTATTTTTTGGTAAAACTGTGAACGAAGTGTTGTCGTCGTCTTTCTTATATTTTAATAAATCCCAATTTGTTCTCATATCATGATTGAACATGAGTTTCTTTGTGGGATGCCAGTCGTACTGTTTGGCGTGTTTCTGTAATTCAACAAAAATTTCTCCAAAGCGATATCTATGTCCATGTTATTTTGTTCCATGCACTTCTTCATATGTGATTTAAAGGTTCTTACCATCCTTTCAACTTGCCCGTTTGACTGTTGATGGTGAGCTGAAGTCTGAAAGTGATGTATATCATGGTCTCTACAAATTTTTTGAATAGTTGACTTGTAAAGTTTGAGCCATTATCAGAAACTATTTGTTCTGGAATACCAAATAAGCTAATTGTTTTCATCAATTTTTTTATTGTAAATTCCGAGGTTATTGATTTCACAGCGTGATTATAGGAAACTTACTGTACGCATCTACTATAAGCAACCAGTACTTGTTAAAAAATGGCCCAGCGTAATCAATGTGTTTTCTTTCGAATGGCTTCGTCGTTAACATACAAGAATACTGTGTGTGTGATTATCGGCCCAAATGTTACATGATTTGCATTCTTTTACTTCGTTTCAATATCATTGCTAATTCCAGGCCACCAAAGGTATTCTTTAGCTAAATGTTTGGTTTTGCCAGCACCCAAGTGTCCTTCGTGTAAATGTTGTAGTATTGATTTTCTTAAAACTTTAGGTATGATGATTTTATTTCTTTAAATAGTCAATTTCCCATAATACATAATTCCGTCACCAGTTTCTAATATCGTTCATTATTTCCATTAATTCTCAGTCGTTACAATTCTTTTTCGATCATTTTAAAGTTAATTGGTACGTCCCATAAATCATTATTTTCTTTTATAACATTTATAATGTGTATTTCTTCTTCTGAAGGTGTTAATGGCAATCTGGACAAACAATCTGACACCGTGTTGTGCTTACCCGCTCTATGTCGTATTTCGAAGTCGTAAGCTCCCATTGCAATATTCCACTTCTGCAATCTCATCGACATAGATGAATTTTCTTTTAAACCTTTGGAAAATATATAAATCAAGGGCTTGTGATCGGTGATGATTGTAAATTTAGTTCCGATAAGATATTCTTGAAATCTTTTCATCACAAAAATAATTGCCAACACTTCGCGTTCAATGTTAGTGTAATTTCTTTCGGATTTAAGTAAGAATTTTGAGGCAAAAGCTATCGGTCTTTGCCATCCCCTTCTAAGTGAAAAAAATAGCTCCCAAACCGCGTTTAGATGCATCCGCGGCTATACCTATGGTAAATCAGGATTGAAAAAGTTCAATGTGGGAGGTTGACTGATTAAAGTTTTTATTCTTTTATAGCATTCTTGATGTTCGGTATCCCAAGACCATTTATTTTTGTTGATTATTTTATATAGTGGATCTGCCAGATCCGCAAAACTGTTTAAAAATTTACGGTAATAGCTCGCCATGCCTAAGAAGGTAGATATTTCTTCTAAATTTTTTGGTTCCGGCATATCTATAATTGCTTTAATTTTATCATCGTTGGGATGTATACAATGTTTGTCTATATCATGTCCCAAAAAGCGTATTTTATCTTGCAGGAATAAACTTTTGTCGAAATTGGGGGTTAATCCATACTTGATGATCTTTTCGAATACTTTTTTAATGTTCTCCAAATGTATCTCATCGTTATCACCTATAATTAACAAGTCGTCAATGTAGAATATAACATCTTTTAAATCTCCGAAAACCTGCTCCATAGTCTGTTAAAATATGGCTGAAGATGGTTTCAGTCCGAACGGAAGTCTCGTGAATCTGAAGTATCCTGTATGCGTGGATATAGTTAGCAAATCTCTAGAGTCTTTGTGAATAGGAATTTGCAGGAAGGCTTGTTTGTAATCAATTTTACTAAATTTTTTCCCTTCAGCTAACTTGGCAATCAAATCGTTAATTCTAGGTATGGGGTATTTGAAATCTTCAAGCGCTGGGTTAACTGTGTCTTTAAAGTTGGCGCACAATCTGAGACTCCCCTTGTTTTTAAAAACTGGTGTGAGTGGACTCTCCCATCTAACGACTTTAACCGGCTCGATGATCTTGTTTTCCAGCCAGGTATATAATTCTTTAGTTATAATATCTACTCTAGAATAAGGTACCCTTCTCGGTGGTATAATTTTTGACTTAGCATTTGACTTTAGTCGTAATCTGACTTGCGTTTTTACGACAGGTTTATTATTTAATTTAGACTTACAATTGGATATTAATTCCGCCAAATCATCTTTATGATCCGTGTCAATTAAGCCTATGAATTTTTCAAGTATGTTTTTAAAATGTTTTAACCAAGATCTTCCTAATAAAGGCATCTTGTTACTGTTTACTATCAATGCATCTAAAATTAGAGAATTTCCTTCGTATTCTACATTCAGTCTTGTTGAGTCTATCACTTGTATGGTCTTGCCGTCGTAACCAGATAACTGAATGTTGGACTTCGTAATGTTTTTTATGCCTACTTTCTTATTTTGTGAATTTCGTGCCCGTATTCACTTGTAGTGAAGTCAAGATGTTATTAATTTTGATGTTCACCATGTATGCGTCATCTTTGACATTTTGTACTTCGTTTTCTACGTTATTTATATCTATATTTAACAATTTATAACCTTTCTTATCGATTGATATGATTTTGTCGTCTTCGATCTCTTCTATATCAACTGTATTAATTTTATTTGAATAAGGTACTTAATGTCTAGGATTATGATTCATGTAATTATTATTGTCATGATCGTAAAACTGTTGATGCAAGTTGGATCTATTATAACCTCTAAAATTTTGAAACGGTTGTCTGGTGTTGTCAAATCTATTGTGGTTTTTGAAATCATTAAAAGGCTTGTAATTATTATTATGTCCTTTGTTGTTATTATTAAATCTATTATTATTGTTATCTCTTGTGTTGTGATTATTGAAAGGAATATAAGAAGTTTCCCATCTATTTTGATCACAAAATCTATCATAATTTCGTCTTGAAAAATGATAGTTATTTTGGTTGTTAAATCTTATGTTGCCATAATATGGCCGAGTCTGCCATGGTTGTCTAAACTGATGGCTGTAGATATTATCATGATATCTGTTGCTCTCAACATATGGCATCATCTGGGAGTTGTCATAACTAATATTAGTTCATAAACTTTCTTACCTTGTCTTGCTCCCTCCAAATGTTTTAGATCGGAGTGTGTATTTTCTTTGATAACAATCTTATGTATAGATGTTTCGATGTCAGTTTCGTTTAATTCTTTGCCTACCTTTATAATGTCATCTAAAATGAGTAAATCTTTAATTCTGTATTTAATTTCATTAGAAGAGCTTGATACCTTTATTTTTTCTAAAACCCTGTCGTAGCCGATAAAGTTGCAGTCCATACTGAGTTGACAAATACGGGTAACCCAATCTAAAAAACTTTCTCTCTCTTTTTGAACCGCTGCATTGAATTCGCTAATTTTTTTGTTTCGAATCTTGGAAGGCTGTAATAATCTAAGTTTGTTGATGAGTATCGACAATTTCTTGAGATCGGACTCAGTGCACATCGAATGTAATTTTGAAAATACCTCATCAGGTAAATTATGAAGTAAGGTCGGGGCGTTATCCTCATCTGTGCTGTTATTTTTTTAAAAAATAAGTTCAATTTTGGTTAAATATATATCGATGTTTCTTATATATTTAGGAAATTCGTATTTATATAACATAGTATCATTAGAAGCATTAATTTTTTATCTTCAATCATATTTAATTAATTGAAAAAAAATTTTATTCTTGTTTTTTTTTTATATAATATAATTATTTTTTTTTAGAAATATGAAATTATATTTTAGTACAATTTTAATTTACAAAGATAGCCACTGCCACCATGTTAAGGTTGGCAGGAAGAAGAACAAAATTAAGAAAGTGATAATAAAAATTTATATCGAATTATTGAATTTATTTTATAAAATGAGTCCGCGAGGTTGAAGTTAATTTAATATAAAGAACAAAAAAAATCACTTTTATTTATAGATAGCGATTAGTTAATAGATAGCGATCAATTTGGACATCACAACAAATACACAACTACAACAATGCCTGCTTAGTATATCAATTTAGCTAATCTACTCTCAACGACCCTGATCACCAGCTCATATTACTTGGTGTTTGAGAAACATGCCTCTTAGTTTCCAACATTCAAATAAATTGGGATGCATCTCTGGTTTATCATAATTTTAGCCAAAATCAAGCCTAGTTTGAATCTAGAATATTAAAATCAAATAGATAATTTGCTAATACTACTAATGGAGCGGGCGGTTATATCAAATTTTCTGGGACTCGTTTTTCTAGGATTAGGTAGTATTTTTTTCTGGGGTTTTTTGCCGGGCTATCGTCAGCGGCTAATGGTTATATAAGAAATCTCTGCCTTTTACAAAGTGTATGCTTAGTCCGAATAAAATTTATCTTAAGAGCTATGGGATATTTGCTCAAACTCTTAGTCTATGGAATAAAATATGTGATATATTGTCTTTTATAAATAACATATTTTATCATGCCAATATTTAACAGCAGGCACTCATCACGGATCTGTCAAAAATGATCTGTGGTATTCAAAATTATAATATGGACAACAATCGTGATATACCACTAGTTGATGAAGATGAAGGTATTGTTATTGTAATGAATAAATTTACAATATATTATAGATTTAGAAGAATTGCCACACAATAATGCAGTTATTTTTAAAAACTTAAACACAATGCTTCATAATAGTAAAATAATCAACTTGATAATCAATTTAGATTTTAATAGCCCAGTCATTTGGTAATTCAAATGAAGATCAAGATGAAAAGGCAAAATTGATATCAAGAATTTTAGAATTACAGAATACATTGGAAGGTATTAAAAAATAAAAAATTTTCATCCATTATAAGGCAAAGTCACATAAGGGTGTTTTAGTGTATAATGTTATTATAGCAAGCTTTATACATGCCATTACAAAATTTGGATATTTTAAACAGTTTGCTTTGTTCCAGTTATTTAAATGACCTTGATAAGTTTATTTTTAGAATTAATTTATATTTCTTATCCTATATTAACCTGATATCAATTTTTTAATTGTATTTTTACATAGGTTAATTTTAAAAACATATTTTTCATACTACACAAAAAATCAACATAAGTAAATGTTGAATTAAATTTGAATGAATTGCTAATTTATAATCAAATTGTTAAACTAGTTGTAGAAAAATTATATTCTTTCTACCAGTGAATTAGATTTGGAGAAATTTTTTTAAATATAAATTTATTATTTTATAAGGTAAAGTAAAAAATAAACAATATTTGGAAATTTGGAAAAAGCAAAATGATTGGTTAGGTAAAGGATTCTAAATTCGAGTTTACAACAAAAGTAAAGGTTTTTACAAAAAAATTAGCTAGGCAAGTCTTCCCACATGAGTAATTCCATACCAAATCGATAACTTTTTGGCCTGACCTTTTTAATTTCATTAAAATTTTGTATGCTGAGAGAATATCATTTGAAAGCATCGAATCCAAAATTTTAGCTTCCTAGTACTCACAGTTCCAGAGATATCAATAGTCAAAAGTGCCAAAAATGACCTTTTTCGGATAAGTTAAAAAATAATGATTTTAAAAATATAAGTTATGTCATTTTGTAACTCTATTAAAGGCCTTTTATTAAATATTAAGGACTTTTTTGAAATAATATTGTTGCGGTTTTTATTTACGTTATAAATTTTAAACATAAAAATTCAAGGTGTTTCGCTTTTCAAATTTTTTTGAATTTAATATTTTCTTATTCACTAACCTTATATCTATTCATAAAAAAATTTAAACTTGGGACAGCCATAAGTTTTTTAATTATTGGGATTTTAAAATCAAAAAATAAATATTTTTTCAAAAATAGATGGCGCTCCTTTATAAAATAACATGTTTTGATAATTATTATTTTTTCATTTTTAAACATAATTAATAAGATTTTCCAGCATTATTAACAGGAAAAAATATTATATAGATTGTTTGATAGGCTTACTTACTGTTATTATTATTATTATATTGATAACTTGTAAAAATTAGTTTTTATAATAAATGATTAAATTTCCTAAAAAGATAGTTAAGATTCCAATATCTCATACAAGAAAATATAATAATTAATTGTTGAAAGATAAAAGCAAGTTCTCATGCACCTGCCCTAATATTAATTAATTTTTATTTTACAAATATTTTGATATTAATTATTTTTCTTCTAAAAATTATTTATAATGTATAAATATAAATGCGTAAATCCTTTTAAAGAATCTAAACACTTTAATTATAAACAGAACCTTGCGTAAAGTCATGACGTGGATGACACAATATCCAAACATTGAGGCGGAACACTATTTGTGATAAATGTCATAAAAAATATTGAAAATATAATTTCTGATAGTGAATATGTAAATAACAGCATCAACATCAATAGATAAAATCAATATAACTTTAAATGAAATTGGAATATCTCCTATTAAGAAAAAAAAATTATCCAAAAAAAGGTAGCAAAAATAACAAAAGCTATTACAGATATAATAATTAACAATCCAGAATCAAATACAAAAGATAATAATGATATACTCAATAATATGAAATTACAATATCCTAATTTATCTAAAAATAAAAAATATCAATTGCTGACCATTCATTCTACCTTTTAATTGGAGCGCAAATAAAATAAAAACGACATTCAACACTACATATCATATGGCATATAATTGCAAAATTATTTTAGAAGAAAAGGGGATTCTTTCAACTCCAAATCGAAAGCCTGCAAAATATCTCAATCAAAAAACAGTTGATATTGTTAAAAAAAATTTTTTGCAGTGATGAAGTTAGTAGAGTATTACCAGGAAAAAAAGATTGCATATCTATCATTGAAAAGTGGGAACGAGTGAACGCTCAAAAAAGGTTAGTTCTTAATAATTTGAAAGAATTATTTAATCATTTTAAGGCGAGTAATTCAAACTTAACAATTGGATTTTCGAAATTTGCTAGAAGACCAAAAAATTGTATATAAGCAGAAGCTAGTGGAACACATACTGTATGAGTTTGTAGCATACACCCTCTGGAGACTATTTCTCAATCTTCAGACGAATTTATTTATTTTTTTTCGATAAAATGAATATTCTCATATGCCATTCATTTATTTGTGAACAACAAAGTTCATTTCACAATAACCTTAAAAATAGTTTAGAAAATAATCACTATCTAATTATTTGTGATATTTCAGAAAATTATTCTTTTATTGTCCAAGACGAAGTTCATATTATTGGACAACTTCGCAAGTTACGTTGCATCCATTCTCAATTTATTATAAAATAGGAGATCAAATAAACAATCTAAGTTTTGTGGTAATATCGGAATCCTTAATTCATAATACTGTTTCATTCCATTTATTCCAATCGCATTTGATTCATTTAAAAAAAAAAAAATTTGACACCACCAGAAAAAAATCAATACTTTTCTGATGGTACACCAGCGCAGGCATTTTTTCTCCTACGGCACATGGTAAAAGTGCCTAAAAGGTTAGTTGCCAAGGCAAGTTTACAAAGACCTTATACTGATCAAATAATTTACACCTTTACAATTTTATAAATATGCGGAAGAGCATATAAAAGGTATAAATTTTTCTTATGCCACTATACCCTATTATGAAGAAGAAGAGATAAGGCTAAGTGAGAGATTTAGTAAATCTATCTCAATACCCGGGACACAAAAAATTCGTGCAGTGTTTCCTCAACACTAAACTATATTCTAATTTGCAGACATTTATTGTGGAGAATATAGTATATCCACGTGAGGATCCTTTGAATGAGTATCTGTTATAATCAATGAGATTAGAGGATATGTGTGCACATGAAAACGATTGGTGGTTAAATTTGTACAAGAAGTGAATGTAATTAGAGATGAAGTAAAAATTAATTTTCTTTACCCTAAAGGACCAGTAAATTCTTGTTTATCCAGCTGCACATGATATCCTTTTCATACCAAAAAATAATATTTTAACAATAGTTAGCCCATCAACAGCTACTGGGCGTACATATAATTTATCGCAAAACGAAATTATCATGGCGTCAAAAAAACTAAATTTAATGAAAAACCGAAAATAGGTAATAACTTTCATGAATTTTAATTTATCTATTATAAAAAATTTTTATAAAAAAAAATGATTATAACCGCAACTAAATAATTTCATTTCATGATATTATTTCTGGAAAATCTTATTATTTATGTTAAAAATGAAAAAAAAAGTTTAAAAAAATAATAATTATAACAAAACACGTTATTTTATAAAGGAGCGCCATCTATTTTTGAAAAAAATATTTATTTTTTGATTTTAAAATCCCAATAACTAAAAAGTCCATGGCTGTCCCAAGTTTAAATTTTTTTGGTTAGAGAATAAGAAAATATTAAATTCAAAAAAATTTGGAAAGCGAAACACCTGGAATTTTTATGTTTAAAATTTATAATGTAAATAAAAACCGCAACAATATTATTTCAAAAAAATCCTTAATTACAAAATGACATATAACTTACATTTTTAAAATCATTATTTATTAATGATTAAAAAGGTCATTTTGGGCACTTTTGACCATTGATATCTCAGGAACTATGAGTACTAGGAGGCTAAAATTTTGGATTCGATGCTTTCTAATGATATTCTCTCAGTATGCAAAATTTTATCGAAATTAAAAGGTCGGGCCGAAAAGTTATCGATTTGATATGGAATTACCCTCTAAAACAACAAAAATAAATATTAGGGCATGATTAAAATACACGACCTCTATGAAAGAAGCTTAATTTAAATTATATTAATATAGAATCGTATTTAGCTTCATAAGATGAGTTAGAAAATGTTTTTCTTAATTTTTTTAAAAAATGGCAACATTAAAATTTTAAAAAATTATTTTTTTACATGAATAAAATATTCGCCCCCTATTAAAGAAGCTTAAATTATAAAAAATAAACACAGAATCATATAGATCTTATTAAAATGTATAAATAAATGTTAATAATTTTAAATTTTTTTTAACTTAGTGGGCTTTTAAAAAAACACTTACTAAACTACACGCCCCCAATCAAGATACATTATTTTTAAAAAAATGAATACAGAATCATGTTTAACTTTTCAAGGAGATTCAGAAAATGGTAGTATATAGTGTTGCGTAATCGGCTAAAAACTACGCCTAAGCCTAATAAGGCTAAGCCTAAAAATCGGCTAAAACTAAAAATCGGCTAAGCCTAATGAGGTTAAGCCTAAAAATCGGCTAAGCCTAATTAGGTAAGCCTAAAAATCGGCTAAAACTAAAAATCGGCTAAGCCTAATTAGGTTAAGCCTAAAAATCGGCTAAGCCTATATATATCTGCTAAAATTAAATTAGTCAAAATTCTGCATCGATGCTTAGTATTAATTATTATTTATTTATTTTAGTAAAATAATTTATTTTATTTATATTTAATGTAAATATTTTATTATTATCAACAAATAAACATGATATGATTTAATATTTTTTATTTATATTATTATATTTTGAAATGAAAATAAATTTATTTATTTGATGTTATTTTAATAAAAAAATAATATGCTGCTATATTGTAAAATTGTAATATTCTTTTTAATATAATTTATTAGTGATTTTTACAATCTTCTTTATAAATACATCTTTTATATATTGTAAATTTTATTAGATAAATAAACAATCTTTTAGGTGAAATCTTTTATAATTTTTTTATCATTTAAAATTATCTATTTTTTATTAAATGAGGTGGATTTTATGAAACTTTTTTGATGATTTTATATGATCTTTTTAAGGATAATATTTTAATGTGACAATTGTCATAATCGT